CAGTCTGCTTATAAAGTTTTCTACTTTTTCTCATTGTATGTAAATGTAAGCTGAATCCTTCTAAAGCTGTAACCATGGGACTGCGAAATGAAGTTGAGTTTTAGGTTTAGTCGTTGTTTTAGTGTTGTCTTTGTTTATCCGTCCATCTAAAACTCATTCAAGGCTCTAGGGCAGTAGTAGGCATCAACACCTCCTTCTCCCCAGCAACCTTGTCCTGCTCTACTAAAGATTTTTAATTATTATAATATGGACGGTAGTGGTCAGAAGTAGGGCTGGGTATCGTCACTGATTTCTAGAATCGATTTGATTCCGATTCACAAGGACCCGAATCAATTCAATCCACGATTCAATTCGATTTGATTCGATTTAAATCTGGGAAATTTTGCCTCAGACAGTCAGAAATATTATAATTCAGATCAGTACATTTACATATTTTGTATCTATAAAAAGGAAGCTGATACTCGCAAGACTTTATGTGAACATCATTTTGCACAACTCTGTTGCTTGTGAAGCTCGCACACAAGAATTTCACTCACATGTGCTGTACCAATGTACCTGCACATGTGATGTGACAATAAAAGTGATTTGATTTGATTTGACATCACAGCAGATGCCTTTGTGTCAAAGTAGCTGAAGATAAAACACAGAAAAACATGAAGGTGGTTTTCCTGCCCTGGAATTTTATAAAAATATTCTGCAGTACATCAAAAACGAAAGAAAACCATTAATCAACATATGAACATTACCTCTGAAGTTACAGCGGTTTTATTAGAGACACGGCTAAGCGTTTTGCATTTTGCATCATTTTAAAAAGTTTACATTTGTTCAGTATTGAACAGCAGAAATGAGGTTTTCTTTTCGGAAGTAAGTAAAAGGGAAAAAAACAGTGGCCGACAGCCTGTAAACAACGGTAGACTTGTGCGTAACAAGCAAGCGAATAATGCAGAAAACAGATTTTCAGACGGGAAACTGTTCTTGAAGTACAGAGAGAGAGAGAGAGACAGAGACAGCGAGCTGTGCATGAAGTGTGATTTTATCGTGGTGGAAACAAAATAGCAAAAGTAAAAGTGAATTCATGATGATGTTTTTGTGAAGTGTAGTTTGACTCTTCTTTTGCTGCTGGTTCAGTCAATTTTGTTTGGAGAGAGATTCAATTCAATTCAATTTTATTTATATAGCGCCAAATCACAACAAAAGTCGCCTCAAGGCGCTTCATAGATACAGAGAAAAACCCAACAATCATATGACCCCCTATGAGCAAGCACTTTGGCGACAGTGGGAAGGAAAAACTCCCTTCCCACTGTCAAACTAACAACTTTAGAATCACCGCAAAAAGGGCGTAAACACAAAGCACGGACCCGCCGAAACATCAGAATCAGCGAGCTGTCGGCTTTCAGCCCCGACCGTGTCCATGCCTTTGGATGAGAAAGGCGACATCTCACTGATTCTGATCCGTCGGCGGGTCCGCGCTTTGTGTTTACATCTTTGTGCAGAATCTGTGTACCTGCTCTCATTTACTGTTATAGCTGTTTGGTGGTTGTTGAAATTTGGTGAGGTTTAACCTGAGATTCTGGCGTTTCGGGCAAAATAAATTAATATTAAAAATTAATCGATTCAGGATTTTAATGAATCGATATCACGTTATCCAAGCCAGAATAAATCGATTATCAAAACCCACCCCTAGTCAGAAGTGAGGTTTAGCAAGTTCAGAATGGACATTTCAAACTCTTAAAAAGTCAAAACTGAACTTTGAAGATTTCTAAGGGGACCAGCTTTGTTGCATTTCAGGAAACGTTCCTATTTCCACACTGATAAAACTAAGACAATTTCATTTTATTGTCCTTTTAATCTAGTCTATTTTGTCTTTTTTCAGATATGTATCTGTAAAACTGCAGAAACTCATTAAATCAAATCATTAAATGGTCTCACAGGCAGATTGGTGAGCCACGCTGAACCTAGCATCCCTGCACCGAAGACTATTACAGTTGTTGGTTGGTTTGATTTTACTTGAGTACTCGGACGCTTTTGCAGAGCGCCTGAGCCTTTGCCCATCCAAGCTGTCAGGATAGACGCGTTACACCCCGGACAGGCTGAGCAGCAAACCTTTGTGCGTCAGTTCAACGCCGAAGTGCCAAAAGCTGCAGTACTTGAGTCCTTGAACAGGATCACTCAACCCTGTTTTTCTTTTCTTTTACGTGATTATCTGACAAATTGAGGCTCTATGATACTACAAGGTTTTTGACTGTTGATCAAACAAATCTAAGCCCCAATTCACTGTTTCCTGATATCTTATTAACTTAATAATCTTTTCTTACCATTTTAACCCCCATCTTCACTTAATCTCCGTCGTTTTGCTACATGTCCCACTCCTCTGCATTAGACCTCAGCTTGGCTCGCTCAGCGTGTTTCTGCTGAGTCCTCAGAGTCCAAGGCTTTCACAACAGTCACTGCAAACGGACTGACGCACTTGTGGTCAGACCTGGCCTCAGAGTTTGCTTAGCTCTCATGGCACTGAGTCATGGCCCCAAACTGACGTGCTCTGGTTTTAACTTCTGGTTGAACCCACTCTCTGGGTTTCCACCTGTTTCTTTTTTTCAATTGGCTGACACCCGGTTCTGCCTGAAATGCCAGGAGCCTTTGGTATTTGCTGAAATACTCTGAGTTGTTTTTTTTGTTTTTTTTTATTCAAGTTGGCAAAGCCCAGGCTGTCTTAGCAGAGGCTTGACTGATTTGTGGTTCCTCTTCTGTGTTATGCATTACATTTTCCTTCTGTACAGGCTTCAGAATCTCGTATATTTTTTTGTTTGTGTTGATCCAGCTCCCAGACAACACAGGAGGGAAAAAAGAATCCGAGAATATAAACAACATGTGTCTATCTGAAAAATGTGTTTCTTTGCTTGAGGGATCAGTCTGTTAATCAGTGCACTGCTTTGGTCCAGATGGAAATATCTCAACAAATACTGGACGGATTACCATGAAATTTTGCACAGTGTCTAAAGAATTGAATCCTACTGGCTTTTGGTGCTCAATGGGCAATTGGATGGAGTGTCATGAAATAAGTGCCGTATAGACCTTTTAACTAACATCATTAAAAATATCCCCAGACTCATTGGCCCTTCTTCATGGGGAAGTACTAATCTTTGAGCTTCCTCTTTCATATGCAGTGATGGATGGAACCACGTTATGCTTCCTTGCTCTTTGACCACAGTGAACACTTTCCTGATGACTTCATGGCCGAAATTCCAAATTTCAGATCAAACTGAATAGAGTATTAAATACCATATTGTTCGGACCATAAGGCACCGTATTATAAGGCGCATTAAGCAAAACAAAACAGTCAGATAAGTCAAACTTTACTCAACTCATTCTCCTTGCTTCCTCCACTTCCGTACCATTGATTCATTAATGTTGAATTCTCTCGCCGCTGCTCTGTTCCCATGTTGTTGCAGTATATTAATGACTAACTGCTGTTTAGTTTTCTCTCTTCATTTATGTTGGGAATGATAGCAGAGCTGTATGTTTTAATTGTTTCAGAAATCTCTCAGTAAGAACATGATATATCATGTTTAGGTGGAAACTAGCGAGCTAACTTCCTGCTAACTTCTAACTCCGTTGAATTTTATACATTCTGTTTTCATGAATGCCTGGATGTTAAACTTAATTTTTACACCCGATAAAGCAGCAACGCTGATCATTTTATTAAAGATGAAAGAATTTAGACAGTTTTTAACTCTCAGTGATGCTGCAGTGTTCGTTTGACTTTGGGACCTGAAGCCAACGGAGTTTTGGACCCAGATTATTCCACGAGGCTCCTGATTATGGTAGCTGTAAGGCTCCGACAATCCACCAAGCGGTGCGGCTCGGTAGCTTACCAAAGTGGTGCTAAAACATTTTCCACAGATTTTTGAGCGCCGTGTACCAAATCAGTTCGAGGTCAGTAAGCACAACTAGAATTCATACATAAGGCGCAGCGGATTATAAGACGCACTGTTAAGGATTTTAAGTGTGCCTTATAATGTGGAAAATACAGTGCATGTTTTACTTATTATGGTCATTCTAAGAGTCACGTAGGAGGATTCTCCAAGATATTGGCTAATGACTTGTCAATCACAAGTTTCTTTTGTTTTTTGTTGGTTTTTTTGGCCAGTAAGCTTCACAGTCAGGTCCACCCCTCACTTGCCTCATCCAGTTTCAAGACCTTTAGGTGGTGACACAGACCTTCACTCAAGACTTGATAATGGGTCTTTGCTAACTTGTAACAGCTGCAGTCAGACAGAAACCCAGAGCAATAATAATTTTGCAAAACTTAAATACTATTTAGGCTTTGCGCTTTTCTATTAAGAAACTAGAAGCCTTTCAAATGAACTTTCCTGCATTTTGGTCTCCTGGTACAGGATTTGTAAATTCCTGAAAATGTAGCATGTGAGCGTTAGAAGTGAATTTGCCCCTGCCCCCAACACTAAACTGCTGAGTTAATCTCTAAGCTGTTGGAGGAAATTTGTGGAAGCAAGTTATGCAAGCTCCTCATAAGTGTCCAGCCGTGGCCTGAGTTTCAAACCCAGAACTGTGTGGCTGGCTTTACAGGAACAAAGCCAGAAAGAATGGAAAGAGATATCTTGATATGGTTGAGAAAAACAGAAATGATGGTCAAAAACTGGAAGGAAGTGTGTCCTTTTTTAACCACTGTTTTGAATTGATTTCACTGTTATGTTTAAAAAAAAGATCCCTGAAAGCCTGTGTAAATATTCGTCACCAGTCAGTTCAGTTCTTCAAAGTCCAAACAGACCCCGAAACTTTCCAGGAAAGCAGCTGCATTCTCCAAAAAAAGAGGAAAAAAACAAAGACAAAGAAGACAGAGTGTATTTTGGCACTCTGCTGCAGTGACTCTGGGCAAATGTGATGAACACATGACTGTGAATAAGAAAAATGAAGTATTATTTCAAAATCGGAAAATGCAAAACCTTACGATGTGATCTGTGTGTGTATGTGTGTGTGTTTAGTTTTTTACAGAATACGGACCAGACTACTCGCTGGAGATCAGTCCGAGCTGTAGACCAGACCGCAACGACACCAAACACCTGGACCAGGTCATCAGCACCATCAAAGGTGTGCATGTCATGTGTATGTGTTTGGGTTGGATGCACAGGTGTGCCTGTTTGTGAGGGTGTGGAGCGTAAACAGGTGTGTGTTTGTGTTGCACTGAACCCTGGCTCATCTGAGGCCCTTTGGTCTCTCCACGGCTCTTTTAAAGTGCAGTTTCATGTGTCTGCTCTTGTTTCTATACGTCTCTGTGTGGGATGAAAGTATGTCATCTTCTCTCTTTGTGTCCTCTCTGTGGCTTTTTAACGTCCTTTTGTATGTGTGTATGTGTGTGTGAATATGCACAATATGTCTATGACCCCTGCTCGAGTCTGGCTCTTGATACATGTGGTATTTTTTTTCCTTTTTCTGCATCTTCCTCTCTATATGTGCCTTTATGTTTGTATGTTCGTGTTCCCGTGTGTGCGTGCAGCCTTGTGGTTAAGCCTGAAGTCGGGTCTTTGGTCTCAGTGCTGACAGCCCACAGCTCTCAGGAGAAATCGTCCAGCAGGGTGAAATTTAGGCAAAAAGTTGAGCGAAGGGAGAATTATTGTAAGGAGGTGAGGTCAGGAAACGACACGTCGGCAACCATGTCAGACGTTTCGCCGCACACAGCCACACATCCGAAAAGGAAAACAAAATCTGAGTTTGATCATTCGGCGTCTCCGGGGTATAAAAGTGTGAACCGTAGAGTGACAGGAAATCCTCCTTTCCTTCCTTTTCCTCAGTGAAATCTTATATTTTAAACAGCGGTTATCCATTCTGGTAAGTTATGGTGAGGTGAGTTACCGACCAAATAAAAGGCACTCACAATATTGTGGGAATAGTAAAATCCTACCAAGATCAGGTCACGTCACAGTGATCCATGTCGGAAAGTATAAAACAGACTAATAATTATCATAGTTTCAGTGTGATGGAAATGGATTTATAGTAGGACACACCACAAAAAGTAAAAGCTTTGAAAGTCACTGTCTGCACTCTTCTTCAGTATTACCAGCGTTTGCTCACAGTTATCTTTACAATAGAAAAGAGAAAGAAGATATTTATTTCATTAGCAAAAACGTCTGTCCACACGGCATTCGTTCATTCAGTCAGCATCAGGTGGCAATGTTTAAATGCTTAAACTGCAATTCCTGTAGGCATTGATCCTCATTGACTCCAGTGTTAAGATGCCCTGCGTTAGAGGAGAAATAAGCATGCTTACAGCCTGTTGTGGTCTCTATAGTTGTTTGGTGGATTTTTATACCAGTTTGTTTTCGGACTGACATAAGGGAATGTACAATAAGGTGGAAAAACTCAAGGTACAAATATGTTTGTCCTTGGAAAAAAAATGACCAAACCAAAGAGACCAAGGCTCAGTCATAAAGGGCTGATGAGGTTTTATCGTCGCCCCGCAGGGCGGGCAGGTGGCATGGACACCCAAGTTTGCAAATGTGAGAACTTGAGGATTAAGTAATATGGGATTTTTAAATTCATGCAATAGGTGCAGCTATTAAAAATCTCTGACAATTTAATTTCAGAGACCTCGGCCTGAAGGTCAACTTCAGAGGTCAAGTTTTCTGAAAGTCTTGTGAAGAAAGAAGGAAGTCACCTAGGAATACCACACCTGCATCTACCAGAAGGCAGGAGTATTACTGGCAGCCGCCAGTATTTTTTACCATGATCCTCTACCCATCTGTGGCTCTGAGAAACTCTTTTTATACCCTATCATGTTACCGACCTCTTGCCAATTAATCTAATTAGTCTCATCCTAATCTCATTTTAAGTGGAGGTTCTGTGATGTAAATCAGTGAAAGTGAAAAATAGCAGGCAGCTAGCAACCAAGTCGTTTCCCATTTGTCATTCACTGCAGCTAAGCCCCCAAAAATTGTAATTCTTTCAGAATTCAGTGGAGTGAGTTACATAAAATCCACCCACCTGTGCAGTTTTATAATGGGTAAATTGGCTATAGAGACCGCAACAGTTTTTTTTATTGTTTTTTTTTCCACCATGTTTGTTTATTTCAGCTCTAAGGCTGAACTTTTTAACATAGAAGTCTACAGGGAAGACGGTGAAGAAGCTTCTCAGATGAGAGGTGAAACGTCTTAAACCAACTTAAAGAAGTCCAGACGCTTTTCTTTGCAAGCTCCTTTGACTACGATGACCTGGATTACTGAGAACCTTCACAGACATACAGGGAATATGTCTTCTTCTTTTAAGTCTAGAGGAACAGCTCTTTTTTATATTAATGCATTGGCTTCGTTTTCAGTCCTACTTGGTTTCTACCTGTTAATGCTCTCGGCAATCATCTGCCCAGTTAAGTCCAAACTCAAATCCACTCGCTGGAAAGGAAGTTTGTTTATGGAAATCTGTGGATCAGTGTGAATGGAAATCCAGAACAGAGAGAAAATTGTGCGTTCTCAAATTTTTACCCTCAGTCGACTGGACATGGTATCAATTAGTATCTAAACCTTCATACATTTAAACAAGTCATCTGACTGTAGCAAATGACAAAAAGCCTTCTGGACGTGGAATAGGTTTATCCAAACAGCATTAAATCCTCAGCTTTGAAAAACTTCAGGTCACATCAAATCAGGGGAGGCGAGGGGGGATCGGGAGTCTGTTTGCCGAAATCCAGTTGGTCTGTTGGCTCGCATTAAATCATCACAACTGGAGGGGCTGAAAGTATCGCTCTTTTCCAGTCATACGGCTTTTATTAGAGCCAACAGAGGGAACCGGTGAGTGGACGGATGGAGGGAATAAAAGGGAGAATAAATGAATGCAGACGAGCCAAAGATGAGAGAAGCAAGTGAAGTTTATGTTTGGCTCCTGCATCCCATGTGCCTCCTCTGTGTTTGATCAGATCCCTCATTCACCGTTAGCTCCCGCTGAGGACAGAAAATGAAACGGTTAACTCTGTCAAGTTTATACTTTCGGCTGAATTCTGACGTTTCTACTTCTTAAATTTATTTTAAAAACTTCTGCATACATTTTGCAGTTGAGCTAATTATGTTTCATTTTTTATAAATCCAGAGAATTTCCTATCCCTTTTTCCCTCCTTTCTCTGATCTCTCTCCTGGTTTCAAATTGTCAAATCTGTTTTATGTCGCTTTTTTTGTTTTCTTTTTTTCTCCTCCTCCTCTGTCTGTCGCTTCTGCTCTCTGTCACATTTATTGTTACCACACAGCACCATAATCCCAGTGGGCAGTCTGCGTGTTACAATTTTAAACACTGGATGTTGTCTGTTTCCCAAAAAGAAAGCCCAGCGTGTTTGCTAACTTAACTTATGCACACACACGAGCGCTGAATAAAGGATAGCCTACAACACACACACACCTCAAAGCAAACATGTCTGCATGACATCATCGGGCTGGATAAGTGTTTCTTGGGTTTGGAACAAACTGCTGCTTATAAACATCGGTTTCTCTGAGAAACTGGGCAGAGTGGGAGTGTACGTATGTTTGTGTGCCCACATCTGCTCTTTCAGCTCGCACGAATGGATACAAATTTTAAAGTGGTAATCTCCAAAAGCCACCGTCGCTCCGTTTTTCACTCGCCATGTGTCAGCTTCTGATCCCATATGTTAAACCATGACTGTACGTATGCATCGTGGCCAGTTTGAGCCCACAGAACACTGTCATGTTGGCAGGTATTTACAGAGATGCGAGGCGTACATATGGCTCATTTCATGAAAAATAAGACAGTGTGTCTCATCTGCAAAATCTCTCCTTCACATTATGAATGTTTTTACAAGGGGGATGCTGTTTTCAGCATGATATCCCAGCTGGTGGTTGTTAGCACTGTTGCCTCACAGCAGGAAGGTCCCGAGTCTGACTTCACCATCTGTGTGGCGTTTGCATGTTCTCCCTGTGTTTGTGCTTGTTCTCACCGGGTACTCCGGGTTCCTCCTACAGTTAGGTTAACTGGTCACTGTAAATTGCCCATAAGTATGAATGGTTGTCTGTCTTTCTGTGTTAGCTCGGCCCAGGATGTACCCCACCTCTCGGCCTATGTTAGCTGGAGTAGCCCCCCTGCTACTCTGATAAGGACAAGCAAAGAGAATGGATGGATAGAGGGGTGAATCCCAGCAGTCATAGGCCCAGATGTGGGTACACCCTAAAATAGCTCGCCAGTCTATTCTAACACTAATATAGAGAGACAGAACCATTCACACCTACGCCCAGCTTAAACTCACCAATTAGTTTAACAATAATGTCTTTGGACTCTGGGAGGAAGCTGGAGTAGCTGGCACAGGAAGAACCATCTTTTTTTTTAATTATTATTATTATTTTGGGGGGTTTCTGACATGATGTCATGCGTACAATCTCAGTAGTTGTCCACCTTGAAACTTCAGCATGATGTGAAACAGGTATTCCCCAACATGTTGACACACTTTCCTGGAGGTTTCCAGCTCTCATTGGGTGAAACCGATTACAAAAAAGTTGTTGCAGCAAAAATCATCCTAGCAGTTGCTTTGGTTACCAGCAGGTTGCCACGGTTGCCTGTAGTTTCTCATGTCTCACATGTTTCACATGTCTGGAAAACCTTTGTACTATTGTCACCCTTCACTTACTGGTGTTGTCACATCAGAGGATTTGTAGCAACACAACCTAATTCATACCAGCACATATTCCCCAAATCAGCATGAGGGGTCAAGCTAGGTCAGGTTTTTAGCAAAAACTAAAATACTATTTGAGCTTTTTGTCCAGAAGCAGTTCTAAATAATGATTTTTACACTTTTAGCTCCACTGAGTCCTGTTCAGTGAGAACTATCCCACAAATGTCTCCTAATTTTCGGCCAAGTCTTGGGGTCGAGGGGGCAGCAGACTAAGCAGAGATGGCCTGACCTGCCTCTCCCTCATCCAGCTCCTCCGGCTCTTGTGGCCAATAAATAGAGTCCAGGTTTAAGGCGCTACGACGTTGGTGTCATTTTTCAGACCCAGACTGTCATGAAAGTAAAGTATCTCCATGCCACTTAATGAAAACTTGCAAAAACTAAAAATGTGAGATGTCAGCGTTTCTTACCGTCTTTGCAACCCAGTCCATTTGCGTGCGTACATGTGCTGCAGTAGAAGCAACAATTGAAAACATTCAGATGTTACTCAGCTTTTCCTGTGGCTTCCCTCCCGTCACGCACTCGGAGGCTTTATTAATTAAAATGTGATTTTTATGAGGTGAGTGTCCAAGGCTGCGGCAGCTGTCAGGCTGTTTGTGCATTCACGGTTCTGGGTTTACAAGGCCAGTAGTGTGATTTCCCCAGAGAGTGCTTGTTTGTGTGTAAACTGCCAGCCTCCCCGTGTAACAGTGCCTTATCTGCACACTTCTGCAGGGAAATATTGCAGCACCTTTACATTTTGATTACGATTACGCCTTCAGTCGTTAATTCTCCACTCTGTTGACGCAAAATAAGATGCATGTGTTGCGGGAAAGAGAGATTGTACGAACACGCCTGTAAAATACACACAAACATGCACAGTATAGATGCTTCCACGGACGCTGTGATATGGAGTAAACATCAGAGCCCACGGTGGACTCTGGTAACTTTACCAGATTTAAATATCTACATCTGGAAAAGAGGGACAGGCACTTTTATCAAGTCTAAACCAGCCAAACAGCGGAGCCAGAATAAAGGAAGAGGGCACATTAATTACAGTCCGAATCTAATCAATATTTCTAACCACAGATGTCCTGTTGTTGAAAGTCCGCTTGTGCCTGCTGTTCCTCTTTTTGATGGACTTTTCCTGTTTTTAGCACACATCATGATTTTTGAGTTTCCCCTCGTCACAGCAGGAGGAGAGGAAAAAAACTGCATTGTGAGCAACAATTTCCCGTAAAATAAGTCAGCAGCTTCTCAATCGGGGTCTTTTTTTTTGTTTTTTAAAATCGAGATAGTAGCAACATGACTCACATGTAGCCACACCTCCTTTTGTACCTGTAATTTCCTTTAAATGCCACCTGGCTTTAGTTAGATAAAGGGAAAGTTCCTTAAAATAAAAACATGCGACAGAGACACTTTCCTGTGTGAGGGCAACAAACACCTAAAATTAGACCAACTGTGCTGACTTCATCAGATTTAGGTGCGTGTGATCTGCTCCGTGCTCTGTCCGCCCTGTAGTCTCGCCACGATTGCCAATAATCAATACCATTGCCGCCAAGGCAGAGACGGGAGGAAGAGGAGGAGGTTAAGGTGCTCCAGTGAGGTTAGTGCTGTCCAGCCTCCATAATGCAAACTGTGTGGCCCCAGGACACACACACACACACACACACACACACACACACACACACACACACACACACACACACACACACACACACACACACACACACACACAGCAAGCAGAGCCTCGTTCACACACAACAATGAATTATTTAGCCACAGTAGTTATTAACAGGATTGGACAGGCATCAGCTGAACACCTCACACATTATTAAAGTGTAATACAGTTCCACACCAGCAAATAGATCAGACTTTCTTATTTAATCGGATTATACAGTTCCAACCCTATCCAGAGCAATGTAGCATAACGCTTTTCATTAGCGGGGGTGCAGATTTTGTCAGTTTCTTTCACAGAGGAATTAAAGGGGCGAAGGAAAAAAACACGTCAATGACCAAAGTGAGCTGACTGATGGCCAACGTGCTTTTTGAATGTCTTTGAATTTAACTGAAAAGCAATCCATATCTAAGCTTACATGCTTCTATGTAACATTCAGTCGGATGAACACATCGAGGGTGGCTTGGGGTTCACATCCCACAAAGGGGCGCGTACTCAACTCTGCTGCTCAACCCATAAATGCATTTTCCTTACAAATGTGGTACCATTTAAAGTGACAAAGGGTTGCTACAACCAGGATATAATCCACCAAATGCAAATTTCCTTGCTTTTTGTGCTAAGTATGCATTAGTATGTGTTGCTTTTCCTTGTGGAGTCTGGCCAGCATCAGCACCGCTGGCACAAACAGTCCTCCTCCTTTGCATCCACACGCCTGTGAAAGATGTGGTTGCACATCACTGTGGATGAGTAGTGATGGTTGGATTACTCTCACGGCCAGTCGTTGTCTACAGATTTGTGCCCCCATCATTCATGTCTGCGTGTCGTAAAATAGCGAGGCGAAGAATAAAACGGAGAGGACGCAGCCCCACTAAGTGGCGGGTGGCGTCGCAACGTCTTAGAGCCCACAGGTGAAAATGGGTGTTTAAATGTTTAGTCAACTGGTCATTAAATGTGTTTTATGTAATATAAGCATATACAAAATGAGGAAATGGATAATTGGCCCCTTTTATTGCTGAGAAAGGGGAAATAAAAACATTAGGCTTAAACACTGGCAATGCCACGGTAACCAAGTCGCTCTGTTATTGTGGGGTTATGTTAGAAACTGCTGGATGACCACATTGTGGCTCTGGGAATGTTTTTTTTAGGCCAGATGACCCCGTGTTCGTGTTTTCTTTCTCGAATCGGTGACCTCATCGGAGTAAATCAGGAGGCTGATTTTCATCCCAGCCTCCGTTGGTGTAAGCACGTCCAAAAGCCTCATAAGCGGGATACTTTTTAATCTGTTGACATTGTAGCGTTTATTTAAACCACCAGTGGAGTCTCAGCATCCAGACGGGGATGGGGAAAAAATAAAACCCCAAAAACAAATTTAAAAAAAAGTCCACGCCAAATGTTGTAAACGGCTCATTTTTTCCAAACTGTTGTTGTCACTGCAGGGAGAGAACATGACAGGCCCACAGTGACAGCTCCACAATGGCCAACAAACAGGACATCCTCCCTCAGTGCGTCAGGGCAATTACTCATCTGCAATCCATGCGTACATGCGTTTGTGTATGCGTGTGTGTGTGTGCGCGTGCAGCGTGTTTGTTTTGCCTCCGACGGGCCGTTTAACATGACAAAGGACAAACAAGGCGGCACTATTTGCAAAGTAAACCGTCGACTAGACTTCATAATGCAGCCATTGTGTCAAAACACTTGCTTTGTCTGCGTGTGAAACCAATCTGTGCCCTCATGCAAATGAGCTCCAAGTGTTGCTTACCGTTGTCATTTCCATATCGATTCCCCTTTTTGCTTTTGTTTCCATGGGAGTGACAGGATTTACCTCAGCCAGATGTTATTTAGCATTTTTATTGGCACGAGTGTGTGCTTGTGTGTCTGTCCTCCAGACTGCCTCCATCTTTGGTGTCTAATATGTGTGTTTAGCCTTACTTAATTTGATAAAGTTGACCCCCACCCCTTTTTTTTGTGTTTTTCTTTGTAGTTGTCTCATTTTTCTCTCGCTCTCTTTCTTTTTTCTTCTTACAGGGAATTTAAAGAATGTGGTTTAGGACTCAGGAGCCTCAACCTCCTCCACCCCCCCCCCCCCCCCCCCCCCCCCCCACACACACACACACACAGGAGAACACACACCATGTTTCCAAACCAGGTCGACACTCTGCGACTTTAATGAAGACAATATGGAGCAGACCCCTTCGGCCCCGAGGCACGGAGCAAACGAGGGAGGGGGAAAGAGAAGGAGTTTTGGAAAACATTAGCTGAGTGTTTCCAGGGGAAAACAGTTTTAATAAGGGTTGGGGATGGGGAGGGATGGATGTGGTTGGTGTGCCAGTGTTCGCTGTTTTTAATTCTTTGTTTTTTGGAAACGGTTCACGTGTTTGCGTGAATGAGAGAGTTTATGGTATGTTCAGTGCGGTTATGTAAAGCTGGGTTACAGCTGAGCGTTCTGGTATCCAGAGGAGGGGGGGAGTGCATCGGTCAGACGTATTAAACCAAATGGAAAAAGCAGATTTTTCAGGAGTACGGTTTCACGGTCACCCCGCTCCTGCTGCGATTTCTACCCCTCGACGACCGATAAGCGTTAAAGCAGACGAGCGGCCGTGTTTCCCCAAAAGCACCGTTAAAACCTCGTTCTCGGTCCGAGAGGCCTGAAAAGTATTTGAGATGTCTGGAGAGAGAAAAAAAAGCTGGAAAATAGCCGGTTGCACATTGTAGCCACATTGTTTGGAGCCCTGGGCAAAGTCAAACATCTGGACGGCGTTTGGAATTTTACATGGAAAATATGCAGAGAAAGTTAAAAAGGGTTAGTCTTTGGACAGGCAACAACAAAGATTACATGACCCTTAAGGAGAATTTAGATAGACACAGCAAACCCTGAACTGGTTTGGTCTACTCAGAAACTGGGTTCCACAGTAGGACTGAAGAAGAAACTGTATTGAATGATCCTTTGTAATTATGCTGGTACCAACTGAAATGCATCCCAGACTAACAAAGGTTTGGAGTGAGATTCCGGTCAAGTTTGTTGTTGTCTTTCTGTTGATCAAATGTTCATTTAATTCAAGCATCGCCCGTTTTAAACTGTTTTTATTGTTGCTGTCTTTTTCATATTAAACATTTTAAAGAATTGGCGTCTTTTGTGAAAATGGTTTCATACTGGCAGCCACATCTAATAAGTTCAACCCTTTGTGGCATGATAACTCCGCTTAAAAAATGTGTTAGAAACAAGTTGACAGATGGTAAATGGTCTGTATTTGTATAGTGACAGAACTAAATAGAAGCGGAAATGACCACTAGGAATCATTGTGATCATCGGAGACCAGTTGGCAACCTGATAAAAAAGGACCCAAAAGCCTAAATCAAGCTCCTGTTGATTTAACACTTTTAAAATCAAAATTGTGTTTAAAATGTGTGCCTTTTGTCCAACTAACAAAACACCTGAAATACCTTCATCTACCTGTCTTACCTGGATTAAGTGATATGAGAGCTTCCTCCTGCGACATGATGGAAAATTGGTTTTCTCCAACTGGTTGGCAAGTGGTTGCTAGCTGGTTGCTGTACCAAAAACCTCTTTTATTTGGTCGCTATCATATTGCTGCGGTCACGCCGAGATTGCAGTGAAGAAAAAAACTGTTTCTGCACAGAGCAATTGAATAAAGAGACCTAAAACAACTAGACTTGAACTAGACTAATATTTATTTCTGCTGTAAAGTTTTTAACATGGACATCTGTGGAGATTGCCTCCCTTTTGGAGCCAGCCTTTAGTGGCCATTAGGGGAACTGCAGAATTTGGATTTGGCTTCATTTTTAAGCTTCAGAGATTAACACCTAACTGTGATCCAAATACTCGACCCACTCGCTGACGTTTAGGAGTCCACATATCTTTTGTAGTGTAAAATGTGTCCTGATGCATTACAAGCTGACTGTTGATGACAAGTCTGTGCTTGGTGAGGTTTTTTTTATCCTCTCCCACACCCTCTTAAAAGTCACAATAGATTTATTCTGCAATGATTAGAAGAGTACATAAATATTCATCAAAACTGTATTCTCTGCTGGTCTTTGCTAAACAAACATGAAAACCACCATGTACAATAATTGTGCCTAGAGTTACACAATAACTGTTCCTGTATTTAAAAAAAAAAAAAAAAAAAAAAACCCAAACATGATGAATGATCTTACCTGCTCCTCCCTTTAAATCAGCCATAGTTTTAACAGACACACATACTTCACAAAGTAAATGTATAGACTTCTTTAAGATGCCAAAACACTTCCAAAAATACAAGCCTGAGTGTTTCCATGTGTAACGTGCTATTAGTGATGTGGCAGAGTTATACTGCACAGTTTAACCACTGCACGTCAAACTACACGATGACCAAAATCCTTAAATCCACCTACTGAAACCGAGGCACAAGCTTGATGAAAAGCTTGGAAGATTAGACCAGAGTGAGTTTATTTACATCAGTTAAATGGAGCCTTCCTACGATCCTCATCTGGGGTGCTAAACTAGTGTTGAGTAACCAAAGGTAAACAGGATGTAACTTCTGGGATAACGTTGGCAAATTTCACCAGTTTATTCTGGAGCTCATTAAACTCACATTTGACAAGCTGGTTCTTAACCACAGAAATCATATTTTTACATGTAAATACTTGCTCACAGCACACCGACTTGCTTGTTAACTGCATGTTGTGTTTTCCTGCTGCAGGATGTGACTGAAAGTTCCAAAAAAGCCTCACAAATGGAGCTTTATTTAAAAAAAAAGTTTGTCAAACTAGTGTAACAATGGCAACATCAACACATAGGCCTTCAAATCCCTCATTAGCCACTTTCTAACATAATGTGTTTAATGCTCTTATTTAAAGCAGTGTTTTTAATTGTTCCTTCATTTACTTTTAAAGAATCAGCAATAACTGTTTTGAAAAGTCAAGAATTGAAACAAATTTGTTTTGTTTTTTCCACCCCTGTTCTCCTGTGTTTTGCCATGCTCACCGCAGACGTTTGTAGAAATAAAAGCCGGGCGCGCATGTTGTTGTCATGTGTCGCTGCGCCGTTTTAAGCAGTGATTTATGCAGTGCGGGCTGGTTAATAGAGGCTTTAATGGAGAGCGTTTGAAAGAGGAACCACAAATGTCGGGGCAGTTTCCTTTAGAAGTGATGTTCCCTAAATTAATGGCCTGGAAATTCACACCAAATGTAGGAGTCACCAGGCAGAGCTGGCATGTGCTGAGCAGAAGTGAGCACCGAGTGTGTGTGAGAGGATTCCCTGTGATCTTTATGAACACTGCTGCGGTCACCGTGGCGGTTTGAGCCCCACGTAGCCGAAGCAAATGAAACTCATTACACCGTTTACGAGTTCGGAAAAGCAGAGACGATTGAAATTCTATCTCATAAAGGCAGAGGGGAGAGGGGTTTACGCGATACCAGGCTCTGGCTGTAAACATGAGGGACATGAGAGACTTGTGTGTTTTTTCTGCTCCACGAAGTCAAATTAGAAAAGCTCGGAGGCCCTCGGGAGGATTCGTGGCACCGCTAGAATTCCTGGACTTCTTCTGGAGTTCTTATTTTAGGAGAAAGCTGGACCTTCTGCTTGTTTATTGTTGAGGTTTGCAGCCAAAAAAAATGGAAAAACTCCAAAAACCTTTTAAAGTGATGAACATCCTGGACTCCAGTGTTTTGTTGTTTTTAAATCTGAGTATTAGAAACCCAAACTTTCCCATGTCCTCATTCTGAACAAACACTTGATTTTATGTTTTCAGTTTTATTGTTTATTCTGCACAGCCAGGCTTTTGTAAAGTACCAAAATTCAATTCAACTCAATTCAATTTTATTTAGGGGGTGGCTGTAGAGCAGCTATTGAAAGGTTGGTGGTTTCCTGACTGCTCTTGTCTTTATGCCAAATACTAACCTCATGTTGCTCTCCAAAGCATCCATCGGAGTGTGAACATGTGTAAATATTAGTTATACTCAGGTAAAGTAGAAAAGCGTTATATAAGAACCAGTCCATTTACCATATATAGCACCAAATCACAACAACAGTCACCCCATGGTGCTTTATATTGTAAAGACCCTGCAATATTAGAAAGGACCCCCAACAATCATGTAACCATCTATGAGCAAGCACTTAGTGACAGTGGAAAGGAAACGTCATGCATTACCAGGTTCAGGGAGGGGCAGCCATCTGCCGCAACTGGTTTCAAGGTGATGGGAAAAGAAAGGTTTTAAAAATATTGGATTGTGTGTTGAAGGGAGGTAAGAAATTAGGCTTTTGGAAGTTGAGTTTAAGAGTTAACCTACATGTCCTATCTCAGTGTCCTCTTATCCTAAACAATATAGGATCCTGAGCATGACAGCTGATCATTTTATCCCGAGATGCAAATTTTGCATCTAAAAACCTCAAAAGACATTCCAACAGAACGATTGGAGAGCCAGATATTTTCTCTACATATCTGTGAAGTTGTCCAGTTGGAGTTCAATGTGGAGACACAGGCGTCACGTGTGTTTAATGCCACAGTTGTATTGGAACATTTTTGGTTCATCCAGGCGAAGGACCAACAAACTCATGCTAAAGTGTTCCTCGTCCCTCTGTCCACAACTCACAAGAACAGCTACCCCTCCACGAGTGTTGGTTAGAACTGAATCGAACTGGTGCACATACCGGGTCTTCACTCAGACTGTGCTCAAGGTCATTGGATGTGCAGTGTGGTGGATTTTAGGATTTTTCTCATATGTTGTATATGTTTGATTTTTCCTCTGGTGATTGGCTCTTTGGGGGCTGATCAGCAAAGCCCTTGTTCTTACAAAGAGTCACCACCCTTCACAAAATGAGCTTTCCTCACATTAAAACATGTGACCAGTCACTGGATAAAATAGTTGGGACTGTCTAAGCACCACGATCGGATATCCTCATGTTGGCTTCCCTGCATCATCATGACAATGTTGGGTGTTTTCCATCCACATTCCAAAGCTATGACATCACAGCAACGTAATTGATCATTTGAAATGTTGATCATGGACCGACATTATGATGAGGATGCAGGAACAACACCAACACGGGGATATCGAATACATCGTCTAACCTGCCGCTTTTGGGTTTGGTGAATGGAG